TATCTGGCATCGGAGATGTTGGGAGCAATAAGGTTGTGTCTCAATGGATGTTTTCGTTTGAATGTTTAGACTGGGATTTAGGGAAGTTTCGCTCCCAATGCACATCAGTGAGACTTGGACACCATTGACCCAGTTTTTTATTCCTATTTGTTTAAAAGCTGCAATGGGAACTTCCCACAAAACCTTGCTGTTAAAGTTAAAGGATTTAAGGAGGCTAAACTAAGCAGATGAAGTCAAACACCGCCTTTATTGGTCAAGGTACAAGAAATTTGAGAGTTTCAGATACAGTAAAAGGAGTCTGGTGAGGCAATGAACAAAGGGGAAGGGATGGCATCAGATCACAGCTCTCCCTGACTCACTACAGGAAAATAATATATATTTATAATAAAGGAAAAACCCACCCATCTACCTTCCTACCCTACTATTACCTAGAAACACTACAAACACTGGCAGCATACCAAAAGTCCAAGTTTGAAAACACAATCAAATTACCTGAATATGTTGCGAAATCATAAATATATAATAAGAATCTTAATAAGCTTACTGCACGTTCCCAGAAACCACTGCACCATTGAACAACTGAACTCATTTTTCACTTTTTGTGTAACCTCCTCTAGTATTGTCTTGCCAAAATAAATCCAATGGAAAAAGTAGAAGAAAGGGAGATATGGGGAGCAGATAATACCAGGGAGTCTGTAAGGTGTCAGAAGAGAGATTGAAGATTTAATCCATTCGATATTTGGTCATATAAAAAGCTGCAGTGATAGAGACAGACAGAGTATAAAGTGGATGGACTAAAAGGGGTCAGTGTTGCCTTCAACGACAGTGACTGTAAACATGTTCAGAACTACATCTGCACTGACATTCCCCATGTGTCGCAGTGTGTTAAATACATGTTTGGGTCAAGAGGTAATCATTTTCTGCCATGTCTTTTCTTTGACATCTTTGTGTGTGCGTGTGTTTGTGTGTTGACCAACCAAATGATTCAAGGCAATTTTCCGTCATGCTGCTTGAATTTAGTAGAATTAACCCTGAAGCAGATCACTCGGAACAGCTTGCATCTTTGAAAAATGACATCTCATCCTCTGAAAACACCTGGTCCCCCTTTTTGCAATACCTCCAATGCTGATTCATCTTTGTTTCCCACAAATGGTTCATCATGCGTGTCTTATATCAGTTTGAAAAGTAGTACCCTAATGGCCCAGACGTCTATTTTTTGGGGCGGTTTCATTTAATTTATGACTATTTTATTGATTTATTTTCTTCTTTCTTTTTGGTAACAAAGCTACAAGAAAACACGATGGGCAGTTTGTCCCATCAGCCCAGTCTATCTGCCTCTTTCCTGACCGTCTGGTCCAGTCTTGTCGTGTTTGGCCTGTATGTCAAATGTCTTTATCTCTCATATGGTAATAGGCATGCATTGTGTATTTTGCAATTTGTAAATCTGTAAACACCAACAAAAAAAAACCTGAAGCAAAAACAACAAGCCATCTTAATACTCAGTTTGGACCTCAGCAAGCATCCTTCCCTCTCTTACTTCATTTATTTCCTTCCCACCAATTTACTCCTCTGTCCTCGTCCTCCGCCGCCTCTTCTCGTGGCCGAGCTACACTGCTCAGCGTATTAATTGTGGTTTGAAAAAATCCCCAGCTGAGGCATGGTGGGATTGTTGAAGCCAATGGCTCAGAACTGCAGGGCAGGCGAGTAGAAACTTGGACTTTTTTTTCAGAAGCTGTTCCAGCCCGCTGATGCTGCCTGGTCTAGCGGAAGGAGGGGAGCGTTGGCAACCAACGCACGATCTGGCAGATTGTTTGCAGTCGTCGGCGTGCTCATATTTCCAGGCATCCGCAGTGCTGCCTACATTAATACATCTGAAGCTGTAAGAGCATATCTAGCATTGTGTATAAAAACTGCCATGGAGTGACTTCCTTTTTTAAATATTCTCAGTAAATATTTTAATGACACACTCTGAATCATATAACTGGAAGGTGTCATTAACTCTAACAAGAATTAGCCTACTTTTCGTTAAGTTAGGGTGACCATATTTTCAAACCTCCATATTGGGACACTTTAATTTTACTGGTAAAGGGCGATAAAGGTAAAGGTGCACTCCTGAGCAGCCCCACTGACGTAGGTTGCAACAGTGCTACTTTCAGTCTGTACTTGTGTATTTGCTCATTTTAATGTCTTTAATGTTTTAATGTCTCTGTACGTCTTTGATTATGGGCATTTCCACCATGGGTGTCTGAAAATGGACACTTGCAGTGTGTGCAAAATGCGGCATATTCACTGCTGGGTACTTTTCGAAGGAAGCTGTAACTCTCCTGTTGAGCTCTTTGGAAAATGCTTATTTCCTTTTCAGTATGACAGCTAGCCTACCTGTCATTAAGCAGCAGGTTCTGTTAATATGATAAGCTTGGCTAGCAAAGCAACGGCTGTGATTGATTGACACATGTACAGACTAATCAGTATTGAACTTTGACTAGTTGGGCATTAGTGATGGTTTTTCTTTTTGGTTCAAACAGCAACAGCCTTCGTTAAGACATATATTGACATACAGACAAATCAGTGTCAGGTCTTTTGTTTTGGTTGGTTAAAACCAGGACAGGGACTGTTCAAAACCAGGATGTAGTGGTGTTTCATAAATATTTGTTTGGACTCGCCATGATTACTTACAAGAAGTAATCATGGCTTTCAGATGACAGCAGTGACTCACATCGTGTTTACTACATCCATGATCTGATGGTCATGACGGGTGCAGTATGTTCCTCAGGGACCACATCCGGGACACCTTTTTTTTATTTTTTTTAGTTCTATGGCAGGTCACTGTAGCTGCATCCCCTTAAATATTAGATGCGCCCTCAGTAATTTTTTGTGGAACCGGTCCTGCTGTCCCATGTCAACATGTGATGGTGTGACCGTCTGTATGTCTCCTGGTTAGACGGCTCTGTTGTATCTGTTGTATCTGCTGTTATTTAGTAGCAGAGAAAAAAGTGATCTCTTGTTGCCATGCCAATCTATCTTTGGTTACAGAAAGAGTTACCATGTGATGCTTGGTCAATATTTATAGTCTCATAACTGCGTGCTTTATGTGCAGGAGTTTCACTCTGCCAATTTAAATACATCTCCCTCTTCACCCTAAATTCCCGCCCCAACGCCCCGCCCTTGACTCATCAGTCCACTTTCTCTTTCCAGCTCACTAATCTTTGCCTTCCCATCCTCCACATTTAATATGCTCCTCTCACTTCCAAGCTTTTATGACTCCACTCAGCTCCCCAGTGTTTATGTAATGGGTACTTCCAGCAGCCATTTTGTGATGAAGCATCTTAACTGTGTTTGGCATTTTTGGCCCTCATCTGGCCTTAACACTAAGAGAAGTGCTTCTTTTGTGAAGACAGGGAGAAAATTGGCTTAACCCCGTCGACTTGTATCACCAACACTTCTTCGGTTCTGAGTTTTCTTTCCAACTACTCCCCTCTATGATGGGGTGGCAAAGTGACAGCGGGGCTCTGGATGTCCTAATGATCAAAACAAGTCGTCTGAAATTAAGTTATAAAGTCAGCCTTTCTTACAGTTGTTATTTTTAAGAAGAGTTTGAAAGTGTCTTCAATAGAAATGTTTGGAGTCTGCTTTTTCTTCCAAAGTAGCATTCCAATACCTCGCTTTAAGTATAGGCAGATACCGAATACCTTAACCTGGTATAGCCGACATAACCCTTAGACAATTATTTACAGCTGTGTGATAGAAGATTGTTATAGGTGTTTTTAGGCAAATTATACGGGTAGCTCATGTGTCAGAGAAAATACAAATATAAAAAAAAAGGCAAGATCAGAAACAAAAAAATAATGACAAGTAATTTCATTTGAATCCTGAAATTGATAAGGCAAAGAAAACTTGATGTACTAGATGAATGGAAGAGAAATAGAATAAGACACTAGATGATGAAAAACTAACAGTACAAATACAGATATTAGAAAAAGGTCATACTGTGTGTGTAAGTCTAATGATGTGACAGTAAACTGAGTTGTATTGAATGAAAAGAGAGCAGAAAACATCGATACAGATCCAGAAACCGATATCAGGACAGGAGATTTCAATCTTGCAGTTAATTAGATTTGCCATCTTTAATGATGTAATAATAATAATAAGCAGGAATGTATGGGGATGCAAAGAGGATAATGAAAAGAGGGAGTTTAATGTAGCGTCTACATCATACTGATATCGGTATCGTAAAAAAAATTCCAGTTCAAATTCTCTTTCAATCTTGCTGCGAATCATAATAATTAACTTTAATGAACTGGCAATAAACAGAAATGTAGAGGACGAAGAGAGGCAAGATAAAACAAGGAAGTAGATTGTTATGGACTAACTACGATCGCCCTAATAGGACTGATCTTTCCCCCGGCTCTCAACCAATCAGAGACTGTCTCTTTCAACAGAGCAAAAAGGAGCAAAGAGAGACTCTCCGGGTTTCGACCTAATGCCTCGTAATTACCCTGAATTATCGTCCTATCTGCTTACAGCCCCTCATGTTACAAAAGCACTCATAACAAGCGTTAATAATTACACCATACTCTACTCTCGATGTACCAGAAGCCCAAATCCCCTCTCATAGAAACTGATTGGATGATTAAATTATGGATTTTATACAAGGATTTGCAATTAGGGGGAAGTGTATCTGTATCACAAGGGAGATAAAGTACCTCCTATTTATGGAGAAAAAAAACCGTGTTGGAGATTAAATGTTAGTGAATGACTGAAAAGCATTTTTTTTTAAACACCAGAATCAGACGTCACCTTGAAAAGCTCTTTCTCGTTATGAACGCCCAGTGAATGATTTGCGCGGCGGCCATATTTGTTTGTGTGGGTTTTCCTCCTCGGACATAAATGCTTAATCCGAAAGGCTTTTAGAGTGTCTCCAGCTGTGCATATTAAATCCCAGTGACTTCTTGCTTCTTATAGCCCTTGACTTTTAACCCTTTCTTTTTTTGTTCGTTTAGGGCGGGCTCTGATGAGATTGACAGACAGAAAGCTGGAGCGAATGGGAATCATGCAGGAATCCCAGAGGCAGCACATCCTGCAGCAGGTCCTGCAGCTCCGCGTCCGAGAAGAAGTCAGGACCCTTCAACTTCTCACACAAGGTAGACTTTTTTCCCCGCGCAGTTTCTCCGCTTCAAAATTCATTCACCCTCAAACATTAACATTTCACATGAAATACAACATAATGACCGGACTGTACACATTTTTACTACAAGGCTCTTTATCTCATAAGGCATAGTGTTTGCTCGAACAAGCTTTAATACGCTGCAGATTTTTCCAACACATGCTGTATCTGTATCTCTCCCGGGGAAAGATAATTCACAAGGAAGGCAGCATCTCACATTCTGTTCAATATTCAAATCGTTTACTGTGCAGCGTTTATGTCCCTGCCATCTGTAGCCATGGCAATCACTGCATGTTTTAAAGCTTGCAGGAAGTGATGAATCAAAAATGGTTATGTAACAAAAACAGCTATGCACATTTTATTTTCTCTCTCTGGTTTGTTTTTTTTGGTTAAAAGTAATCATAGGCAGGTTGTAAGACTTGTTGGACACACATGGATGGAAATAGCTGAAAACTTGTGTAAAATCAGTTCACTCTGAAGAAATCGACACAATCATAGCATCCCAGTGATTTGGGAAAATGTAAGCCAAAGAGTCACACTGAACCAGTGTTAATGTTGGCAGCTATTTTAGATTTGGTCTTGGGCCCCGTGTTCACCTTTTAGTTTTTTTTCCAGGTAGAAAAGCGCTCGGGAGTGCTAGCTTGAAGCATTTGTGCGCTGAGAAGAAAAACGCTGCCTGTCCATCCTGTCTCTATGACAACCGTCTGTTGACAACAGCCTCTTTATACCCGACACTGCGACGTTGATTTTAACTGTATGTTGTCTGTATGACATTTTTACCCTTTATACATTTTAGTTTAAAACTACAACTCAGAACATCTTAGTCCAGTGTTGGAAGTAAGTTGGATTTTGGGGTGGCCAATAAGATTTCAAGGGGTGGGCCATGCCACCCCTGGCCTACCCTCTGGATGCACCACTGTCAATTTATCTGTATGTTATTTAAAGGATTTGTCACAATGGAGACCACCATTGTCTTTTCTACATCTAAAATAACATATACTGAGTGTGCCTACCCTGACCACCCTGAAGTGTCTCTCCTGATATATACACATAATACACACTCTTCACTTTGGGCGGTAAATCGCACTGTGGATGTTTTATGACGACATCCAGATGTCTTTGTCTTCTTTCCTTCTCACCCTGTGGCTCTCGGCTTCCTCGTCTCTTCCTCAACAGTTCTTATAGCCGTCTTCCTCCTCCTCCTCCTCTTCCTCCTCCTTCTCCTCCTCCTCAACTACCAGCAGCGCTCCGCATCAGCACCACCACCTCCATCAGCTACCGTCTGTTCACTGACTCTCAAACAGGGCTTTTGCCGCAGGGTCCGAAAAACAAATTCTAGGGATTTTTGTCACTCTTGAAATTCTTGGAAAACATTTGGAGGGTAATAAAGCATCCTCCATCCCCTGCTGATGTTTCAGTCCCCTAGGAAGTGGAAAATAGTTAAAGAAAGAGTCTCCTCTCCTCTCCTCTCCTTTTCCTTTTCCTTCTTCTCTCCTCTCCTCTCCTCTCCTCTCCTCTCCTCTCCCTCTCCTCTCCTCTCCTCTCCTCTCCTCTCCCTCTCCTCTCCTCTCCTCTCCTCTCCTCTCCTCTCCTCTCCTCTCCTCTCCTCTCCTCTCCTCTCCTCTCCTCTCCTCTCCTCTCCTCTCCTCAGTCATGCTGCCATGGCTGTTCATAGAAACTTTTTGGGCCGCGGGGTGAAGAACAGACAAACAAAACACAATATAGTTTTAAGGTAGAAAAAAGTTACAAATACCAATTAAGGAAATGTGTGACATTGGAAAAACTTCAGATGATACTTGCAACCTGTTAAACAAAATCCCTGAAGTTTCTTAGAACTTGAGTCCCACCTCTGACCTTGCAGAGAGCCAATCAGGCCCATTCCATCCCAGGCCATCTCTTTGACACACTCCTGTTATTTATTCGATATCGCTTTATCTGCTGTATCATTGGAAAACAAATGTATGAGATGAATTTCAGAAAGTGGTTGAAAAAGGGAAGAGGGGGAGCCAGCAGTATTTCAAGTCTCCTGAGGTAAACGCTTCTGGAGATGCTTTTGGCAAGGGAGGGAAAGAATTGGAAGAAGGAGAGATGGAGGAGTATTTCTAGGCCCAGGGCGCAATTCCTTGAATGATTGCTAGAGGGAAATAGAGCAGTAACCAGTAAGAAAGGGAGCCAGAAAGAGAGATGGATAGAAAGAGAGAGAGAAAGTGGGAAGTTGGCAGAAAGGTGATTATGAGATAATAAAGGGAGATAGAGGAGGAGGAGGAGGAGGAATGGCAAGAAGAGTGGAGAGAGGTAGACAGTAGGTGGCTCGAAGAGAAGAGGAGAGAGAGAGTGAGAAAAGGAAACCCTCTTTCCTGTGAGATCGGCCTGACTACAAATCTCTGAGAAATATCTGTACACAAATGACGTGTGTTAATGTTTATATATACTGCAGATCAAACCAAACAAAGGATTTGAAAAGAGGCCGTACATCAGATAATATGAAGGACAATGAAGCAAAGAAAAGTTTTGGAAAAATCACTAATAGCTATCTTTACAAATGCGCCCCTGAACATCTCTAGAAAACTTCAGACAGCCTGAACCTGGAATCTTCTGAAGTTGTGTGTTCACATATGACACTTAAGTTTTCCCTGTCGGACGGTAGGGAGTGGTGGGGCGGTCTCAGCAGGAAGGAACGATACAATTTTAGATTATTTAACACTCAAAGGTCACATATTATGCAAAATACACTTAATTATGTTTTTGTAACGCTCATATGTGTCCTTAGTTTGTTTCCTTAGTTTCCTTAGCAATTATTAGAGAAGTCCATCCTTTCCGTGTTTTACCTGCTCCACTTTTCAGAAAATGTGTGCTCAAACAGGCTGTTTGGAGATCATGACATCACAAAGGGCAGTAACCCCTTCCCCAGATGGGGGACACCAGATGAGGTGTTGTATGAAACAGAGCAGTAGTCATATCACATTAAGAAATCATAATCTAGTTTTACAAAATGTTTCTTCATGGTCGCCCAGATACGGCGTAGTTGTTCTTATAAATGCCAAGCTTTTCTGGACAGAAAAAGAGGACAACAAATGAGCGCCATCGAGACAAAAGGACAAACACGATGTGAGATGAGAGAGAGATATTCCCTATCTAAAATGAGAGAGAGGGTGCAGAGGAGGGCGCTGGAGCAAGCAAGGTAGATAATAGAGAAAAGGGCAAGGGAGAGCAGGAGAGAGAGAGAGAGCGAGGTGTTGTAATTACTGCAGTGTACCTAGACAGAATTAGCTCGACGGACAGTGATTAACCTTTAAGGCTTGCTGGGCCATGGGAGGGAAATAATTAGATTTCCCCTCTCCCTGTCTCTCTCTCTCTCTATTTGCCGTGGGGACGGCGAGAGAGGAGGCTCATCACTTACTGCTTACAGTCAACAGAGACAGACCGATGCTCTCCAAACAGAGAGTGATGTTCAAACAACAGCTGCCTCGTATAGTGTGGAGTGAACGGCCTGAGAGTGGCACTTTGGAGTCAGAGCAGGGTGGAAAACAAACGGAACCAGTTTAACCATTCTCCTCACTACTTCCCACTTACTTCGTCCAGACATGAAATGATACAAAATACTGTTGCTGTGTGGAGAGTAGAAACTCTTACACCTTATCCACATGTGGCCTGAAGTGTTGATCATGTTCAGTCTGTCTTCAAATGTAAATCCCAGCATGGTAAATGTAAGAGGGGAGCAGTTTTGAGACCAGTTCACCAACTGTCTTCTTTCTGACCTTTGGGGCACTCAGAGGACCAGTCCCCTGGCAACATTTAAGTAAAGTAAAAGTAAAGGTTACACCACTTATTCCATATGACATCTATATGTTATATGGTAATGAAAGGAGCAATCAACAGACTTATTCAGTTGGAAACTTCTCCTTTATTATCTTCATTTTTTAGGTTAATTGGTTTGTTTATGATACGTTAAATCAAAGGTGTTTAATTGGTATAAAAAGTCTAAGACGCCCTGGTTATTTTTCATGACATATGAAATGTGTGAAACAAACTGTTGGTATTTCATTACACAGACATATTGTGTTAAAGCTCAGGTAGGTTTGCTTACGTATAACGAATAACAGGTGAAACTGGTTTTCCACCAAAAATGAAAAAAACATCATTTAAAATATTTGACTCTGTTACTGTATGTGCTGAAATAATTACATGATTTATTTTCTCAACTTTCCAATTTCCTAGGAAAGGGGGAATATAAAAGCCTTGTGTTCTTGGTTGACCAATTTCCCTTTTCTATGAGAAAATTAAATTGCCTACATTTCAAGCTAACTTGTTCTGCTGTAATCCTCAAAGAGTCCTCAAAATTCAAGGTATCAATTTTCAGAACAGTTTTCATTATTTTGTGTAGGGGTGTTGCTAGGTGACACATTTTCTTGACAGTTAAACAGAAATTTTAATTCGGGCTAAAAAAAAATGAGTCTGAAGGTTAGAACACTCTTAGACAAAAGTTCAAAATTGAACACAACTAATATTGTGTTTGGGTAAACAATGTAATTTGGTGTTCTGAATGTGGCTAGCATTAGAAGTGCTAGCACCTCCAGCCTGTCCTCTCTGCAGGTTAACAAACACATGACACACACGTGCTAAATGTGGTCACTGTTGCTTTAGCCCTCTGTCAGTTAAACCTGACACAGCTTAAATTAGATTTTGATCTCCGTTTTTTGTCGATAAAATAGTGCTAAACTGTGCTGCTCTTTTGGAGATGCTATCCATTCACTGGGCTTGTTTACATCCAGGCAGTAGAGCAAAGCAAGCAGGCCCACTAACTGGAATTACAGCCAGTGTATTGCTACAGCTAGTGGCGGCTGGCTGCATTACAATTTAATCAAAACATTTGACCGGCACTGAGGGCCAGCATATATAAATATTAGAAAACATGAATAAACTTGTTTAACCGACTAGAAATTCCCTGATTTTAAGTTTCAGATACATCTTAAAATA